ATTTTACTATACGCTATGCCTTATCCCAACCCTAACTCAACTCTAACCCTGACCCTAACAATAATCCGACAAAATTTTAGACAGCTTTGATTATAAAAAATTTAACTACGTCTTATTTAGATAAAAATTTCCATTGTGACATTACTTTTTAATATAAAATAAATAATCAATCAAAACTATGCTGCAATTTCTTACGAAATATTTGCAGATCTAAAATATTTAAGCTTTTCTTTGACTTCTTCTAAATATGGAAAACTTTCCATCGTACCTCGTTTGCTAACAGCTAATCCAGCTGCCACAATTGCTTCTTTCAATGAATCCAAAAATTGCTCAGCCGTTGGTAAAATAGATGATTCAGAATCAACTGATATAAGTCCACTATTTTTTTCATTTTTCAATTGATTTCTAGCAAGGCTGGCAACAAAATAGCCAGTAAATGCATCACCAGCTCCAGTGGTATCACGCAATGTTGTTTTAAATGCAGGTAAAGTATAGACTCGTTTTTCTGGGCCAAACCAAGCTACTAATCCATCACTTCCAAGAGTAATAATAATTCCAATTAATTGTGGAAGTGCATTTGAAAGTGCATCCAGTAATTCTGATGATGACAATTCACTAGTGACATTCATAATAAAAATTTGTCGATATAATTGAGTTGCTTCTAGTTTGTTGACAATTAAATAATCTACAAGATCAAATGAAAATGTTTTTGTAATATCCTCTGAAATTGGTGCTGCATTTAAAACAGTCGTCAATCCTTTACAAAATTGCGTAAATTAATGTCAAAATCTAAAATATATACTATATATATATATAGATGCAGACTTATTTACGTCACTAGTTACGGCTCAATTGCGTTTTATTTTATAAACCAATTTTTTATATAGGACGTAACTAGGTGATATCATAAGTCTGCATCTATATATGGGGGGTGTCAATAGAAACCCAGCAAATTGTTTTTAGTAAGTTTTTTTAAATTTTTAAATTCAAATATCTCAACAA